ATAGTTGTAGTGTATTGTAGTATATTATACCCTATAGTTGTAGTGTATTGTAGTATATTATACCCTATAGTTGTAGTGTATTGTAGTATATTATACCCTATAGTTGTAGTGTATTGTAGTATATTATACCCTATAGTTGTAGTGTATTGTAGTATATTATACCCTATAGTTGTAGTGTATTGTAGTATATTATACCCTATAGTTGTAGTGTATTGTAGTATATTATACCCTATAGTTGTAGTGTATTGTAGTATATTATACCCTATAGTTGTAGTGTATTGTAGTATATTATACCCTATAGTTGTAGTGTATTGTAGTATATTATACCCTATAGTTGTAGTGTATTGTAGTATATTATACCCTATAGTTGTAGTGTATTGTAGTATATTATACCCTATAGTTGTAGTGTATTGTAGTATATTATACCCTATAGTTGTAGTGTATTGTAGTATATTATACCCTATAGTTGTAGTGTATTGTAGTATATTATACCCTATAGTTGTAGTGTATTGTAGTATATTATACCCTATAGTTGTAGTGTATTGTAGTATATTATACCCTATAGTTGTAGTGTATTGTAGTATATTATACCCTATAGTTGTAGTGTATTGTAGTATATTATACCCTATAGTTGTAGTGTATTGTAGTATATTATACCCTATAGTTGTAGTGTATTGTAGTATATTATACCCTATAGTTGTAGTGTATTGTAGTATATTATACCCTATAGTTGTAGTGTATTGTAGTATATTATACCCTATAGTTGTAGTGTATTGTAGTATATTATACCCTATAGTTGTAGTGTATTGTAGTATATTATACCCTATAGTTGTAGTGTATTGTAGTATATTATACCCTATAGTTGTAGTGTTTTGTAGTATATTATACCCTATAGTTGTAGTGTATTGTAGTATATTATACCCTATAGTTGTAGTGTATTGTAGTATATTATACCCTATAGTTGTAGTGTATTGTAGTATATTATACCCTATAGTTGTAGTGTATTGTAGCATATTATATCCTATAGTTGTAGTGTATTGTAGTATATTATACCCTATAGTTGTAGTGTATTGTAGCATATTATATCCTATAGTTGTAGTGTATTGTAGTATATTATACCCTATAGTTGTAGTGTATTGTAGCATATTATATCCTATAGTTGTAGTGTATTGTAGTATATTATACCCTATAGTTGTAGTGTATATTACTATAGCTGTTATATTACCACAGCAACTATAGAATTACCACAACAAATTAATTCAAGTACTTAGTATGGCTCAAAAACACTATTCCTATAGTAGCCTATTTTTTCATGTAGTAGCCTAACTAATTACTGGTTATCGAGGGTTAACATATAAAAAAGGATACTTTGCGTCAAGTAGCGACGTTTATTGACAAGCAATAAAAAGCCTGCAGCTAGGTAGGCTAATAAATTATATAGTTCATACTTGTTTTTTCCAATTATTACCACTGTTGCTAGCGCGCGCCAAAAAAAGCTTCGCGAATCGGATCGAACGAATCGGCTCAAGCAAAAGATCCGTTCGCGAATATCAGGCGAGGCTTGCGCCACTCTCGGAGACTCGGCTTGCGGGTTTGCTGGACGAGAGGCCGACTGAGCGAGCGTGAAACACGGTGACCGGTGACCGAGACACAGTCCGATGCGTCCCCGGTTGGCCTGCAGCACGCGGTGAGCTTTATCAGCCAGTCTAGTGGCGTCCTAGAGAGAGAACACGGCTGGACTGGTTATGTTTGACTGTGTGGGGAATTATGTGTATTTACTTGCTATTGGAATTGCAATGTATCGAGTGTCTCAAATATGTTCTATTGTCTTAAATGTATTAAAGTAAAGCATGCAGGATTTAAACGCTACTCAACTAAGTTAACGCGATGAAACTCGATCCGTTGTGCGCGATTTTATTTTGAAAGCTTTCATTTAGCTGCAAGTCTTCTCAGGCTTGACTGTGAGCTGATGTGCTGTGCGCGTGCAGCGCTAAATGTCACGGCTTCAGTTTAGAAACAGTGTAACTTAGTTGTGTGCAGTGTTGGGGGTAATACGTTACAAGTAACGCGAGTTACGTAATCAGATTACTTTTTCAAGTTACTAGTAAAGTAACGCATTACTTTTTAATTTACAAGAGAATATCTGAGTTACTTTTTCAAATAAGTAACAAAAGTTACTTTTTTTTCTATTTATTGACTGACAGCTCTGGTGTCCTCATGTTGAGAGAAATCAGAAGATGTTCCTGTAGTTCTAAATAAATATGAATATGCATTACTTCATCTCACTCACACACACACACAAAAAAACAACAAAAACAGATTCAGTATTCCTCAAAATGAATAAAAATAATGCAACTCAGAATATGACGCAAACCTGCAATAATTAAATGTTAAACACATATATCCTTTATGTATTTAATCCCATTCTATTTGCTTCTGA